CAGGCGTCCAGATTCCCTCTGCGCTGTCTCTAATGATGTGTACGAAGTGGCTGCTCTGCTTGATTCTCATTTTTCTCGGGGTCGGTTGCAGTATCTGGTTGATTGGAAGGGTTACGGCCCTGAGGAGCGGTCCTGGGTTTCTGCCTCTGACTTGAATGCGCCCTCTTTGATCCGCTCCTTTCATGTGCGGTTCCCTTTGAAGCCTTCGGCTTCCCGCCCGTTGGGTGGGCCTCGAGGGGGGGTTATGTCAGGGATCCGCTCTGCTTACCTGTCGGCGAGCGGCGTCTCCTCTCTGCCGCTCGCCGCCCGCGTCCTCCACGCCCCCCAGCGGCAGCATGTATAACGCTGCACACTGGGAGGTCACTGAATTATGTAAACGCCGGGGTCACGTGAGAATTAAACCAAGGGTATTTATACTTACCTTGCCTGTCCCTCAGTGCCCTGTCTTGTGATACCTGTAGTGTAGTGTTCTCGTCTTGCTCTCTGGTTACTGATTATTAGGCTCGTTATTCTGATTATCCTGTCTTCTCCACTCCTTTGACCTCGGCTTGTTTCTCGTTCTCCCGTTTTCTGGCTCCCTTTACTTGGCTTGTCTCCTGACTATTCTTAGCGTGCTTAGCCCGGCCACTCTAAGGACCGGTATAGCATCCTTCCTCTCTGTGACCTGTTAGCGTGTTAGGTTCCGGAATCGTGACAGAACGGGCTGTGCAACAGGCACGGGAACCCCTGGGATGGTTGGAATATTATTTGAGTCCAGATTATCCAACCTATTATTAATAGTAGCTACTGAAGAAACAAGGGAGGCCATCATGACGTGCAATTCAGCCAGGCTATTTTTTACATTAACCTCTGAATTAGGGCCAGGCCTTTCGTTATCCTCAGTAGTGTTCAACAAACAAAATAGTTCAGATTTCCTGGCTGTAACCGGGAAGGGGATATTCCTCTTTTTGAGTTCTGAGGTGATTTTAGGGATAGTCGAGGATCGATAGCTGGAAGATGGACTTGGAGGAATGGGTTACCTTCTCTGCGTGCCTGATCTGAGAGGGGTGCTGGTAACCGACTGATCATCTCCTTGTATAGAAGCGTTAGACATGCTAAGGGCATGAGGCAGATGGATTAGATTAGTATAGTACAGTAGCGACCCCGCTTACTAGATTAGTGCCTTCAGGTGAAATTGTATTAACTAGCTTATGTTGGTGACAGGTGAGGCCCTAACTACTTGCCAAGTGGCTATGAGAGGCACTACCTATGGTTTGGCTCGTGGGGCCTTTGTGCCACTGAGGTGTTGGCCTCTTGGTGACACGTAAAAGAATGTACAGTCGTTTGGCCATGACGGGTGAGGTCCTATAACTAAGCGTTGGGACGATTGGGCCTGAACCTCTGAATGGAAGGGCTGATTGTATGCCTTGCGGGACCACTAGACTTATGGGCGAAGAGGCCATACCTAAATTGGCGGGAGTTTACATCTAGTCCTAACCCCACCAGGGATAAATTAGTTAACGTACCTGGTGACAGTGTCGTACAAGGTATACTGTAGAAGAAGGAATGATCCTTACTTGAACCTAAAACATGTCATAAATTTAAGTTCACTATCTAACCTTCAGGTGAAACCTTTTAAATAGCCCCGCCAGCATAGGAGTGTATACTAACCTTATATATTGACTAAAGATAGGAGGATGACGCTGGTCTTGAAGGGAACCAATGGAACTAAAGGGAAAGAAACGTGACCTATTTATGTCTAGTACTTGCTTAACAGAAATAAATATATGAAACGATTAGGTAAATTGGAGGCCTACCTCTTTAAGTGCTGCAATTGCATATAACCAAGAAGGGTCACTTGCAAGTAGTGTCAGTAATAGTATGGTCTTTAACAGGAAAATAGAAGATATTTATGGACATCTAATTACTGTTTAGCATATTTAAGAGCATACAAAGTGCCAGACAGAATCTTATCATAACTTTTAACCTGATTAGTGGGGATTTGTTTTTTTTGTTGCAGTTATGCCTTTAAGGAGATCATTTAAGTAAATTTAATGACCCAAACTTCTGTTGAGTAAGGTAGTACGTTATTTTAGATCACATAAAAGAAAGAGGATGTTTTAATATACACATAATAAACATTGACATTGAAATATCTATTTAATTGAAAACTTTCCCAGTGCTGTTTTAAATGGAGCTTTAGTCTTTGCTGCAATGCATAAGAAAAATGCTTGCAACAACTTAACAGTTTACCCGAAATGTAACCGACAGTTTGTACGCACAGGCAACACATGCAGATAAATGTAAGATTTCCTTGCTCGGCTGTATGTGTATGAGAACGGTTAATTACTCAAATTGTATGTGAACAGACATATTGCAAGGTGAATGAGGTTGTGTAACCGAACGTGTTACACGAAACGTCAGTTTGCACGAAGCGTAGTGGAATGAGAGTGTAATAGCCTAACGAGACATTAGTACAAGTGCATGGTGCCCACGAAAGATAGAGCCAAACTTACGATTTAATGCCATTCATGTGATGCTATGTAAATAGAACTCACAAACTCAGAAACAGAGTGTCTGAAACCGGGCGGGAAAATGACGCTGATGCACTTCCAAGAACGTCGAAGACAGGTAAGCAGGGGCTCACTGGGTTTATATAGGGAACCAAGTGCTTCCCACAATTACAGGCCAAGCCGTGTGTGTGTGTGTGTGTGTGTGTGTGTGTGTGTGTGTGTATATATATATATTCTTAAAAAAACAAATCTATCTAAAATATGGCCCACACAAATGGATTTCTTAACAATCAGGGTTGAATACTAAAGTTCGAATGGGGCAAAACCATCCAGATGCATAACGGGCCTTTTCTGACTGCAATATCCAAGTATTGCTCACACTATTATATAATTTCCAGATTTTGCAAATCAGGCATAAAATAGTTAAGTGATAGTTAAATAATATGCAGCATTGCAAGGGTTAATTAAATGTAGCTTGCCAGCTCTTACGTACTAAACTTTACATTTAACAATTTTAAAAAATAAATAAGCCGTGGAATAATATATTACTATAACGGAAGTTTGAAATCTCCCTATCACACTACCTGTGATGCAGAAGGTGGGGGCATATCTCCTAAATGTTTAAAACTAGCAGCTGGGAAACCATTGCTGCCAAGCCTCTAGAAAGGGCCATTGTCCACCCATGCATGCCATGGGCATCACCTATGGCCATTGGATGGGGGACTTTATAATAAATAATAATACCTCACTTTTGACCAGTGTGGGGTAGCAGTTTAATATAGGGAAACACTTTGTATAGATTTTGAATACAATAGCACCTATTCTAATCTGTCAGCCAGGAGCTGAAGACAAAGTGGAACAGGAAGGCAGAAGGAGAGTCTCAGGTATATATTTTTCATTTCCTGCTTTCACTATGGCTACGTGAACGTCAGCTATGTCTTTTTCTGGACACATGACTGCCACTATGTATACATTTTTTAATTTTTTTGGTAATGCTAGTAGCCATTTTGTCAACATGTAGTTACATTAATAAAATGAAAATGTTTTTTTTAAAAAACAACTTTGTAACATTTTTACCAAATTTGAGTTGCAAACAATTTATTATGAATCAGTTTAAAGTTACTTTAGAAAGAGTGATCACATGGCAGGCATATCTGTCTATGCAGCTGCCTGTCAGTCCCCCTAATGGTGAAACAAGGAACAAAATCATTATACAGGCAATCAGAGCAAATATATATATATATATATATATATATATAAATATAAGTGTATTTTTATATTGGCAGTTATATATATTTATCACTATTAATATACACTTATTATTGAGATATATATATAGTATAAATATTTTAATAACATTAAAATAATAAATACATTAAATATATATATATATTAATTAAATAATAAACAATTGTAACAAAATATATATCTGCAATTTTATTCTAAAAAATATTTTGATATTAGTATATTGTTATCAAAATATACTTAGAATGAAATTATATATATATATATATATATATATAAAAATAAATAAGAACATATATACATATAAATATATAATTACATAAATATACATGTAGGATTTAAATACATATATATGTATTTATATTTAAATTCTACGTGTATATTTATTAAATCGTTTTACATAATTAAGTAATTTTTATAAATTATAATTTGAGGAACCTGGCTGACATCCTAGGCAGCAAGTCCAGAGAATTTAATTTGCAAGTCCTATGTTTATCCCTGTAACTTTCCAAAGCACCATAAAACCTGGACATGGGGGGTACTATTGTACTTGGGAGACTTAGCTGAACACAAATGAGTGTTTCAAAACAGTAAAACTGATCACATTACCAGTAAAACGATGATATCACCAGTAAAAGTGCAGTTTTTGTGTGAAAAATGCAAAAAACAAATATGATCGATAACTTTGGTCAGCGTTTGCTGACTAAGTGGCTACTAAAAAGACTAGACAAAACCAATTTTGAATACCCTGGGTTGTCTACTTTTTCAAATGGTACGGCATGGTGGGGTTAATTTTCATTTCTGGGCTGTCATACCGTCTCAAATGCAACATTAGCAAAAACAGAAATTGGCAAATCTTATATTTGACCCTGTAACTTTCCAAAACACCATAAAACCTGTGCATGCGAGGTACTTTTGTACCTGTGAGACATTACTCTACACAAATATGCTTATTTTAAATCAATAAAAAATTTTAATACTGATGATATCATTTGCGAAAAATGCAAAAAAAACCCAACAAATATAAACGGTAAGTTTGGCCAGGATTTTTGAGTGGATACTAAAAAGACTGGGCATATCCAAATTTTGAATACCCTGGGTTGTCTACTTTTACAAATGGTATGCCAAGATGGGGTTTATTTTCATTTCTGGGCTACCATACATAGGCCCAGCAAACCAAGCTGACAAATTTAAATGTGCAAAAATGGAAAAGGAAAAAGCCCTATATTTGACCCCTCTAAGTTTCCAAAAACTCATAAAACCTGTACATGAAGGGTACTGTTGTACTCCTGAGACATTGCTGAATACAAACGTGTATTTTATTGCAGTAAAATCTAAAAGTATTATGACATTCACAGTTAAAATGTCATGCAGAACTTGAAAAATAACATTTCTTAATTTCTCACACTTTTTTTTAGATATTATTCACATTCAATTATGTTTCATATATAAATATGTGATATGACACTCTAAGCACCACAACACCTTAAAGGGAAACTAGGGAAAGCTAGTTGTGGTGGAGCCCATCTATGGTGCAGAAGGGGTTAAAAAACGAATTTTGTCAGTTATCTGATTTCAGCGCCGATGTCCCTCGGCATTGGTTTAGGATTCGCCCTTGCTCCTCCCCAGCCAACATCAGCCAGCATGGTGGAACCTAATGCACATACAAAGCGATGGATGCGCTTGCATTAGTACTTCCCCCATAGGAAAGAATGTGGAATGCTTTCCTATAGGGTTTTACATAATGCTGGATGTCCACATTGCATACCATGAGGACTTCCAGCGTCAGATAGGCGACCAAATGTCACCTAATCCCTCAGAAGTCCCTCTAGTGACTGTCTGGTAAACAACCACTAGAGATGGAATTAACCTTCAAAGGTAAGTATTGCAGTTTATTAAAAACTACATTAATTTGCTTTGCAACGTTAAGGGACCTGGGACACTGCACCCAGATCACTTCAATGAGCTGAAGTTGTCCGGATGCCCATAGTGTACCTTTAACCTTATAGAAGTAGTTTTGTCGTTTTCTCATCTCTTGCTTTGTTACAAGCCTGCTAGAGCATGTAGGAAACTCTAGTGTGTAGTTAGATTTCAATTAAAGGGACACTGTAGGCACCCAAACAACTTCAGCTCATTAAAGTGGTCTGGGTGCAGTGTTCCAGTTCCCTTAACCCTGCAGTGGTAATTTTTTGAGTTTTTTTTTTCAATAAACTGCAATAATTACCTACTGGGGTTAACTCCACCTCTATTGGCTGTCTACCAGACGGTTACTAAAGGGAATTCCAAGTCAGTAGGTGACTTTTGGTCACATAACTGATGCAAGACGTTCTCACGCTATGCATGAGGACATCCAGCATCACCCGAAACCCCCTTAGGAAAGCATTATAAGATACACACACAGACAGATATACAGATACAGAAACACATAATGACATACACTGACCTGCATGCAGATACACAGACACACAATGACACAGATTCAGATACACAGAATGACACTCATATAGATGCAAACACTGACACACAGCGGCACACACTGACACACATGCAGATAAACAGATACACACAGATACACATACAGACACACAGATAAATAGACACACAGATAAATACAGACACACAGATAAATACAGACACACACACAGACATACATACAATCAAACAGATAGATCTACAAATACACATACAAACCGATACACATACACACAGATACACATATAAAAATAAAATGTTTAGCCACCCTCTTGTTTTTATTACCTTTTAGGTGTGGTATGGTGCATTTTATTGGGTTCCATTGGCTGCCTGAGGTTGTTGAGAGTTAGAGGCTTTCCCATTCTCCCCCCTCTGCTCATGCTTCCTTCTCCACCTGCGTGGTCTGTGTTTGCTTGGAGAAAGTGACCAGCTGTACATGGATGCCTGAATAAAGGGAAACTGGCAAAAAGGGAAATGAGAAAATGGCATGTAGGTAGTAGTGGATAAAAAGAGACTAGGGAAGAATAAGAACAAGAGAGACAAAGATAAATGTAGGTGGTGATACTAATGACTGACATAGAGGGAGGAAGGTTAGAGAACCATTGCAAGAGAAGGAATGAATAGGGGAATTTGCACAGACAAAAGAGAGGATATTGGAGACTAACATAAAGAAAGAGGTGGATAGGGGAGATTAGCACAGATGTAGGGGTAAGTGCAGGGACGTTTTAGCCGCGAGGCAACAAGGCATTTGCCTTGGGCGGCATTTTCCAAATGCCCAGGGCAAATGCCTTGTTAGCCTTGCGGCTAACTGACATGCTGGGCGGTCGGGCGTGCCATATGACGCCATATTCCGGCTCCCAGCCTCACTCTGCGGGCGGCGCGCGAGGGAGCTGAGCAGACAGCTCAGGGGAAATTGCTCGCTCGCCAGCACCGCCCACCCGACCGCCCAGCATGTCAGTTAGCCGCAAGGCTAACAAGGCATTTGCCCTGGGCATTTGGAAAATGCCGCCCAAGGCAAATGCCTTGTTTGCCTCGCGGCTAAAACGTCCCTGCACTTACCCCTACATCTGTGCTAATCTCCCCTACACATCATATTCCGGCTCCCAGCCTCACTCTGCGGGCGGCGCATGAGGGAGCTGAGCAGACAGCTCAGGGGGAAATTTCTCCCTCGCCAGCGCCACCCGCCCGCCCGGCCAGCAGCCAAGCAGGCACTGGACCCCCAGGGAATGGGAACCCCCCCCCACAGCATTCCAAAAGGTAAGGAGGCTGGGGGGTTAAATAAAAAAAAAAAGTGAGTGAGTGTCTGACTGTGTGTCTGTTAGTGTGTGTGTGTGTGTGTTAGTGTTTGTGTCTGACTGTGTGTTTGTTAGTGTGTGTGTGTCTGACTGTGTGTGTCTGACTGTGTGCGTTTGTCTGACTGTGAGTGTGTGTGTGTCTGACTGTGTGTGTGTGTGTGTGTTAGTGAGTGTGTCTGTTTGTGTGTGTGTGTGTCAGTGTGTGTTTCTGTTATCTACTGTATGCGTATCTGTCAATGAATGTGTGTGTGTGTGTTTAGAAGGTGGGGCAGGGGGGGAAGGGTTGAGTGGGGGTGGAGCGCGGGGGGGGGGGATGTCTGAGTTTTGTCCTGCCTAGGGCAGCACAAAACCAAGATACACCACTGGGTAAGTGGGGAAACCGGTATGCAAGGGTTGACTAAAGCTGGACTGAGAAAGAACTCTGGGAACTAAACCACTCGATGAGCCAACACGCATTGCCTAGTCCAGGTCCCTCTTAACATAAATGTAATAAGTTATTAGTACACAGAAGCTATTTACTAGTGGGGTGGATGATGGATGGGTGGATGGAATGATGGAGAGATGGAGGATGGACGGATCATTTATACACGGACATTTTATTTAATGCTTTAACCCCTAGGCCACTAATATAGAGATGTTTGAGCACTGCTGTCTCAGTATTTTACTAAATATATTACATAACTACATTATTTTATTATTGTTGTATTTTAGTCATTGCTAAATTGGTATAAAAATGTCATACATAACTAAGAAAGGAATTTTGATGTAAAATTTGCTGGTTTGGCCTTAAATTGGGCAATTTGCCTGTAGCCCCCTCCCCACTCCCTTCTGATTACAAATAGCTAGCCCTACCCTGCTCTAAATATTGGCAGGTTACCATGGAGCAATACTTGAAGTCACCAATTCCTGGATATCTTCCAATATAATAAAACATTAATATGACTAAGTAGACTTAATAATCTATTTAACCACAAAGAGCTTTGTTTGAATCACAAACTCTGAAACTTATAGTTTATCTTAGAAACTCAGAGGATGCCTGGCTTACTCACAACTTGATATCTCATGGTTACTTTCAAAACCAATGAGGCAAAAAAAAATCTTAAAGAAAAAAAAAGAAAAACAAAGATGTGATTTTCTTTGCACTAAACTGTAAATTGTAGCGTATTTAAAATGTGATTGTTTCAGTAGCAGGCCTTCCTTATTGGCTACATGGGACTCCCTGGTCCTAAGAATTATTTAGGTTTAAAGAGACAGGGAAGGAGTGACCTTGGCCACAACAAAGGCAACAGGTGCAAAGAAAATTCACAATGGATAAGGAAAACAGGGAAACTCAGAAAAAAGATAGTAAAAGGTTCATAAATTGAGACTGCATATTAATATAAATACTAATTTCCTATTTTAGCATTTTTGTTTAAAATATCTCCAGTCACCTGCATTCTGTATTGTGTGAGGTATGTGAAAATTTGTTATGTATTTTTGTTTAATTAACTTAGTTATGAAAAAAAAAAGTTTCCTTTTATAAAACCATTGTTCCTGACACCTCAAAATTACAGCATTTACATCTTCAAGAACTACTGTATTATACCGAGAGTCAAGTAAGGGGCTGGCTGACAAAAGCTCCTGTGTAGGATCCAGTGATCATCAGTTAGTGTGGTTTAATATAAGAACAGTGAGCGAGTCACACCACACAAAACCAAAAGTTTGAGACTTTAAAAAAACAGATTTTTCTAAAATTAGAATATGTGTAAAGGAGTCATTATCAGACTGGAGAAATTTAAATGGAGTCCAAGAGAAATGGGATTATTTAAAAGTTGCACTGTTGAAGGCAACAGAAAATTGCATTAGGCTTGTCAGTAAAAGCAAAATAAAAAATAAAGAAACCACTGTGGTACTCTGCAGATGTGTCCAAAATAGTAAAACACAAAATGTTAGCATTTAGTAATTATATAAAAAAAAAAAAAACAGAATGAGGAAGACAGAATGATCTATAAGATTAGGCAGAAAGAGGCTAGGCAAATTATAAGAGCTTCCAAATCACACACAGAAGAGAAAATAGCACTGTCAGTAAAAAAATGGGACAAAACATTTTTTAGATACATAAACGAGAAAAGGAAAGTAAAACAAGGATTAGTTAGATTAAAAACAAAAGAAGGAAGGTTTGTAGAAGAGGATTGACTGCCTCAATGAATATTTTTGTTCAGTATTTACAGATGAAAATGAAGGAAAGGGACCTCAGTTAGGAAAAAGGACAAATTAGTAATTTATTACATGTGAGTTTACAGAGGAAGAGGTTCTATTTCAGTAGAAAGAGGGAAGTGCTCATGCTCTTGTACAGAACACTGGTGAGACCTCACTTGGAGTATTGTACGCAGTACTGGAGACCGTATCTTCAGAAGGATATTGATACTTTAGAGAGAGTTCAGAGAAGGGCTACTAAACTGGTTCATGGATTGCAGGATCAAACTTACCAGGAAAGGTTAAAGGATCTTAACATGTATAGCTTGGAGGAAAGACGAGACGGGGGGATATGATAGAAACATTTAAATACATAAAGGGAATTGTAACGGAGCTCCCTGTACTCCGACCGAGTACCCTCCGTTGACGGATGCTCCTAGCGTTTCCTGAGGACTCCAAGCGCTGCAGCAGACACCACAACCACCGCAGACTCCGCAACCGCCGTATCTGGACTGGAGTCTCGCCGTCTTCCTTCCACCCTGGATCAGCTTCTGTCCTCCAGGACTGTGTGGGAAAGAACTCTTCCTTCCACCCTGTATGAACCTCCAGCATCCAGGACTGTGTGGTGAAGACCCCTCCTCCAAGGAGAGCGTGTCAGGAACAAGCTCTTAAAAGAGCTAAGTGACTCAAGCTCAGGGGAGCATGCAGAGCATAGCAATCCCCAGTGTGATTATAACAGCTCCCTCCAATAACGAGACAAGGCTACGTTTAGAGGGATCAAGAAGAACTGTCAAAACCTTTATTCCCTTGGGACCAGCCAATACAGTCACCACAATAACATTGTTGTGAAACCTCAATAAAATCACAAACAGTCAAACCATATCAAGAAACACACAGTGACTTATCACAACACAATGGCACATTTTTAAAGGGGTGGGGGGAGACAATATTTAACAGTAAATATCTCACCTGCCTGCAGAATTAGCAATATGCAAATCTACCCGAATATGCAAATGAACCAGTCTTGCAATTCAGGTAGTGCATATTGCTGTTGCTACCAACAGAGGGCACTAGACAAGCTCCATAGCCAAACCCACCTAGTTGGTAGCAAACCTCAGGAATACAAGAGAGCAGGCAATACATTACACAGTACACACACACACACACACACAATAAACAATTACATTACACACACCCTGCACCTATAATGGGTACAGGGTGACTAAAACATAGGGTAAATAAAGCAGCCCACATAAATAGTCTGTCTGAAGGTAGACTAGGGGCTTTAAAGCCAGATAGATGAAAGAGTCATAGTCACAGGGAGGAGGCTGGCAAGCAGGCCTCTCCAGGACCAAGTGGCGAAGGGCACTTCGTCACATATCTCCCCTTCGGGGGGAAGACTAACCAGGCACCTGACTTTCTGTCGGTCAGTGCCTAAGTTAGTCGAGTCACCCACCGACAATAAGCAAGTGCCAGAGTAGCCCACCCACAACAAACAGTTATTAGAGCAGCCCACCCACAGCAAACAGTGACTGCACCTGGGTATTCCTCTGGGGTGATGGGGCAACACGCTGTGGGGACTTGAGGGGCAGAGGCCAGCGGCGCTCTGCCCTGATGCCAGCGCTTCTGCTGGGAGGAGGGGGGTGCAGGCCAGTCCTGTGACAAGGGGATCGGTAGGGCAGAGGCCAGCGGCGGTCTGCCCTGATGCCAGCTCTTCTGCTGGTATAGCCTGCAGGACATCAGGCTCTGGACAGGGGACAAAGGGAGGGCAGAGGCCGACTGCACTCTGCCCAGCTGCCAGCTCTTCCGCTGGGGGGCTTGGGACACAGTCCGGCTCAGTAGCCAGGGGAACGTGGGGGTCAGTGGGGGTTAACATCTCCCCTGTTTACCCTGGGGCCAAATTAGGAGTTAGCTGGGGAGGGGAATTCGTACTTACCCCCTCCTCCTGTTGTCCATGTGAGGGTAGTTGGGGATCTGGACAGGCTGTCCAGCATCCCTGTAGGTCGGGCACAGAGACCACGGTCCCCTCTGCGCCATCTGGGAGATTGGGGTCTTCCCTTGGTAGGGTAAGCTGCCGCTGGGGAGATAGGGTGCTGTGCTCCTCTCCCTGAAACACAGGCTGCCGCTGGAGAGGGAGACCGCCTGTCTCCACTCCCATAACATTGTCCTGCTGCTGGAGAGAGAGACCAACTGTCTCTGCTCCCTGTAGGACACACTGCCGCTGGGGAGGAAGGACGACACCTTCGGCTCCCTGTAAATTGCACTGCCGCTGGGGAGGAAGGACGACACCTTCGGCTCCCTGTAACTTGCACTGCCGCTGGGGAGAGAGACCAACTGTCTCTGCTGCCTGTAGGACACACTGCCGCTGGGGAGGAAGGACGACACCTTCGGCTCCCTGTAACTTGCACTGCCGCTGGGGAGGAAGGACGACACCTTCGGCTCCCTGTAACTTGCACTGCCGCTGGAGGCTAGGTGTCCATATCCTCAACCTCCACAGTTGTCGCTCAAAGGCCATTGCCGCACTGTTCTCAGCACTCAACTGGCGCATTACTTGGTGGACCACCTCGTTCGAAAGGTCTGGGCCATAGCAGACCAACCGCCTCTTTACCTCCTCAATGTAAGCGTCGTCCTCGTAGCGACGTATCATGTTGAGGTGCTCTTCGCAGGGCTCTATCCATCCCTGCTCCATGCTGCTGTAGTTAGGGACGCTGCACAGTGGCTAGCGTTGCCCTCAATAACCTCTCATACGATACCAGTGTCTCCGAGCTGCTTCTCCTCGCACTAGGACGCCATCCCACCGCTGCCACCAATGTAACAGAGCTCCCTGTACTCCGACCGAGTACCCTCCGTTGACGGATGCTCCTAGCGTTTCCTGAGGACTGCAAGCGCTGCAGCAAACACCACAACCACCGCAGACTCCGCAACCGCCGTATCTGGGCTGGAGTCTCGCCGTCTTCCTTCCACCCTGGATCAGCTTCTGTCCTCCAGGACTGTGTGGGAAAGAACTCTTCCTTCCACCCTGTATGAACCTCCAGCATCCAGGAGTGTGTGGTGAAGACCCCTCCTCCAAGGAGAGCGTGTCAGGAACAAGCTCTTAAAAGAGCTAAGTGACTCAAGCTTAGAGGAGCATGCAGAGTATAGCAATCCCCAGTGTGATTATAACAGCTCCCTCCAATAACAAGACAAGGCTACGTTTAGAGGGATCAAGAAGAACTGTCAAAACCTTTATTCCCTTGGGACCAGCCAATACAGTCACCACAATAACATTGTTGTGAAACCTCAATAAAATCACAAACAGTCAAACCATATCAAGAAACACACAGTGACTTATCACAACACAATGGCACATTTTTAAAGGGGTGGGGGGAGACAATATTTAACAGTAAATATCTCACCTGCCTGCAGAATTAGCAATATGCAAATCTACCCGAATATGCAAATGAACCAGTCTTGCAATTCAGGTAGTGCATATTGCTGTTGCTACCAACAGAGGGCACTAGACCAGCTCCATAGCCAAACCCACCTAGTTGGTAGCAAACCTCAGCAATACAAGAGAGCAGGCAATACATTACACAGTACACACACACACACACACACACACACTAAACAAACAATTACATTACACACACCCTGCACCTATAATGGGTACAGGGTGACTAAAACATAGGATAAATAAAGCAGCCCACATAAATAGTCTGTCTGAAGGTAGACTAGGGGCTTTAAAGCCAGATAGATGAAAGAGTCATAGTCACAGGGACGGAGACTGGCAAGAAGGCCTCTCCAGGACCAAGTGGCGAAGGGCACTTCGTCACAGGAATCAACATAGTAAAGGAGGAGATCATATTTAAAAGAAGAATAACTACCACAACAAGAGGACATAGTCTTAAATTAGAGGGGCAAAGGTTTAAAAATAATATCAGGAAGTATTACTTTACTGAGAGGGTAGTGAATGCATGGAATAGCCTTCCATCTGCAGTGGTAGAGATTAACACAGTAAAGGAGTTTAAGCATGCGTGGGATAGGCATAAGCTATCCTAACTATAAGATAAGGCCAGAGACTAATGAAAGGATTTAGAAAATTGGGCAGACTAGATGGGCTGAATGGTTCTTATCTGCCGTCACATTCTATGCTTCTATATTTCTATGTGGGGGTTGAAACATTGCAATTCTTGTTCACTTCAAATAAAGCTGCTCAATATAATGTCTGGAGTGCCTGGACAATCCTTTGTTTTCCTTGACTAAGCTGAAATAAGGGTCTGCAAGGCCTTGGTTCAGAGACAAAAAAATAACAGAAATTGATGCAAAAGGAACAGTGGTCCCTACCTAGGAGCATATAAGTGCAACTCTTTTGTACAAAGTGCTTAGCAAGAATACTCACAATCTAATGGTAATAATGGGGAGTTGTGCCAGGAGGTCGCAGCAGTTGTGTGAAGTTGATGGCAAATGGTCTGGGGACGTATTCTGAATAGTTTGAGATAGTTAAATAGTTATGATTAGATGCAGGATCATGTTATTTTGAAAGGTGGTTCAAGGGTGTGGGTTTGTGGTAGCAAAGAGGAGGAGATTTTTGCTGAGGGAAATTATGGTTTAGGTATAAATCTTGAGAAAGAACGAATGCAGAGGAAGTTGAGAAGCCACGAACATACTTTTCGGTAGAGAATTATATAAAATGAATAGTTGCAAAATTGTACGAGGATATTGAGGACTATAGATAAAAACACCATTGAGTTATTGTCTTGGCTGATAAATGAATTGCTTGTAGATGATATTGCAAAATGGAGATTTTTGGTGAGTGAAATCAGCTTGCAGGGATTTGGAGAAAGAAAGACAAGGTGAATATATCAATTATTCGCTTATATGGCTCCTTGTACATGACTGTGTTCAATCCTAGAGCCACAGATGAAGCTGAAAACTGCCCTTATAATGGCTCTGCAAAATGCTGCCAATGGGAGTCATGGTTGAGCCACTTACTTCAGATCTGAAACAATCTCATATGGAAGAACTAGTTTCCTTTCAAATAATTTTTATTAAAGTTTTAAAATTGTGTATAACAAGTAATAATAATACAAACATTGTATTAGGGGTAGGAAAGGAAGGGGAACTTGGAAATCATTGAAATAAGCATAACAATGTATATGGCAAATATTTTGTACATCAATGCACTTTAACAATAAATATATCAAAGACCATAATCTGTTTTGATTTTTTATTCCCATTTATATTTTAATATTGGGAAACCATGCATATTAGCTCTAAAATAACTAGTTTCTCCCCTTCATTGGGTAAGTCATTGAGGATCCAAAGTCCATATTTTTGGCTCACATTTGTCAGTCCCTAATAGTTCTTTATGGTTCTGTCCTCACTTCCAAACCAGACCCCAGGGATCTTAATGTCAGTTTTGATATAAAATAGTAGATATCCCATGGTGATATAAAACTGATCAAAGAGCATAGTCTCTGTCTTTGCAACAGTTTAACAACATTAATAACATTTAATGTGTGATGCTGCTTATCTTTGGAAGTTTAATTGACAATCATGGAAATTTTGTGCCCCACTTGAGAAATTATTGGCAAATTTAAACTTTTTTTTGGCTCAGATCAGTATCCATTAATTATGAACACAGGATGAGCATCTCTGTTAATAAAATGTTCATGTCATTATTATTTCTTTTAGAGCCAATAACTATGCCTTTAGGTTTTAAATTATGTACAGACAATAATGGCTGAGGTAATTCCAAATATACGCAATTAAGAGAATAAATGTGATGATTGTATGTAATTAATATTAGAATATGTTTGATACCATTTTTTCTTAGACCTAATTTCTCTCTACATGGTGTTGACACAAAGGGCTTTTTGGAACTGATTTTTATGAAACAAGGAATGTGGCTTTTCCGATGGATTCTTTCCAAGAATGAGAGTAAAATATATGTATGTGTTTCCTCTCACAGACCTGTTTATCTTGGCTTGGAGCCTATTTGGGTTAAATCCAAAATAAATTGCAAATCATTCCTAACCATCAGCAACATTACATTTTTGTTGTTGTTGTTGTTGTTGTTGTTGTTAAGCTGTGTGCATCATCTGCCATATGCAAATCAGCAGTTTTTGCTCTCACCACCCTTCATTATTCATAGTCAGCAATTGTTTCCATGGATCCAGAATAAATAAATTCAAAAAATAAATAAATGGGGTAATATGGAGATAAAATGAAATATAAGCTTAATTTTATCAATTTTTTTTTTCCTGTGAGTGGTTGTATAGGCAGGGCCCTAGTGCACTGCTTTGCCCGGGGGCCCATAATGTTGTTAAGATGGCAATGGGTAAGGGAGTATCGGCGAAGCAAACAAGGCATTTGCCTTGGGCGGCATTTACCAGGGGGCGGCAAAAAAAGCCGCCCCCAAATGCCCAGGGCAAATGCCTTGTTAGCCTTGTGGCTAACTAACATGCTGGGCGGCGTTGGAGGGCGGCTGACGAGGGAGCTCCTCCTCTGCGCGGTCTGCTCAGCTCCCTTGCGCGCGCCGCAGACATCATATTCCGGCTCCCAGCCTCATTCTGAGGCGCGCAAGGGAGCTGAGCAGAGTGCTCAGGGGAAGTGCTCCCTCGCCAGCCGCCCGCCCGCCAAAGGGTATGTATGCGTATCTGTCAGTGAATGTGTGTGTGTATTTAGAAGGCGGGGCGGGGGGAAGGGATGGGTGGGTGTCGAGTTAGCCTGAGTTTTGTCCTGCCTAGGGTAGCACAAAACCAGAATACACCACTGTACCTCAGTTCTGTTAAGTTAATGTATTTGCACTTTATGTTTGTTAATGTGTTGTATTGTTATGTTATTTATGGATGTGGGTCATTGCCTTGTACTGTTATGTGGGTCATGTATGTTCAAATAGAATATGGTTGAAGATGGGAGACATGGGGTCAATGACCTTGGTTATGTTAAGATATATATATATATATATATATATATATATATATATATATATATATATAAAATTACAAAATACCCCTGCACTCCAACTAGAAAAATAAAAATAGTACCTGGTGCTCTGGTGGCTTAATCATAAACAAAGTGAAAATACCGGCACTCAAGGTTTTCCAGAAGATAACTTCTCCATTTATTGCGGAAGAAAAATTCAACGTTTCAGCTCCACTGGGGAGCTTTCATCAGGACACAAACATTCATAAAATTGAAAAGACTTATATAGGACATATAATCACGTGGTACTTACAATCAGCTGGTTTTCATTACCTTCAGCCACCGAGTTTACTATGCCCGCCCATTAATTTCAAAGGTGCTTCCTGGTCAGTTATTCATCTGACCGAATAGGCTAATTTCATTGGCTTGAGAACTACGTTATTAGGGCAACCAGGGACACTTACATCTCATTGGTTGAATCACCAAATTACGGTGTCTCATATGAACCAAAGTAAGCCTGTTTGCAAAGTGCAAAACAATCAACAACAGGGCGTCGCCGTAGCAACCGGCATGTGAACAGGGGCTAGAGGGAAGAGAAAACAAGCTGAAAGGGAAAGGAGTTAATTTAACATTAAATAAAACAGAGAGGACTCTATATAAGAATAAAGTTTGCAGTTACCAAGAGGTATATTCCAGATAAATAAGACTTAGGTAGAAAGATCACCCCAAAGATAGTGAATAGATATCTGAGAATATAAAGTGCAAGACAATATTAACATGGTGAATATAACATATAAAATGTGAAAAAGGATAGGAAAATATGATGAATAAAGATAAAAAATGAATACTGTTCAGTGAGTTATTATCATGATGGCTAAATCAGAGCCATCAACTACTGCTATACAGCAGGAATAGTGATAAAGAATGTAGGCATATGAATACAAATATACCTAGAGGTAATAATTACATGAATATAAATATATATATAATGAATTGAACAAATCTCTTCTAGTGGTGCAAAATGTGTGCCTAAAAATAAAAAATACAAAGTGAGTAAGTGAAAAAAATATATGTAATACTGTAGACAGATGTCATAAAATATTGATATACAGATCTGTCAATATATGTGAATCCTATTAGGTACAGTATAGGCTATATAAGTAAAAAGATACTCTTAGTTCCCCTGAAGTAAAGTAAGTACAAATATAATTAGTCCTACAAGAGAATGATTTTAAAAGTAAGAAAATTGGTCTAAAGAATACGAAAAAATAAAAAATTATATATACAGAAAGGCCTCTAATATTAAAATTCTGCTAACCATATTTATCTTAAGTATGGGGTCATTTAGGTATGTAGGAAAAGAAAGGACAATGATATGATTATTACTAAACCTGTTGACCATCTAAAATAAAGGGCATGGTGTAACTATAAGAATGCTAAAAATGAGCACTTTTCATTCAAACCCTTCGGTGACATGGTTTCCAATTGCCATATCCAATAAGCTTCCCGTTGTAACAGGAGTTTGGCTCTATCCCCCCCACGTGTAGGAGAAGGAATATGTTCAATTGCTACACATCTTAATGAGGTCAAAAGATGTTGAGATTCTAGAATATGTCGGGCCACTGGCTTCTCCGACTTGCCATCACGATAGGCTAGCCGGATACTGGATCTGTGGCCTCTAATTCTTTCACAGAGAGCAGTCTCTGTTTTGCCTACATAATTCAGTCCACATGGACACGTTAGTTTGTATATAACGTGATCAGTCCGACAATGAATCCATTGTTGGATTTTATAGACTTTTCCTGTATAGGGGTGTGTGAAAGTTTTAGAAGGGATGAGATGACTGCACGTTACACACCCCAAACATCTCACACCCCACATTGATACTCTCTTTCTTTGTCTTGCTGTAGCAATGCAGTGGGTCAGTCTTCACTAGCAAGTCTCTTAGGCTCTTATTCCGTCGATAGCACATCATCGGGGTCTGCTGGAAAGTCTCAGAAAGTGATGGATCCAATTCAAGTATGCGCCAGTGCTTCCGAATAGTAGAATTCAGTTCAGAACTCGCCGTGCTCAACTGCGAGGAAAACCTACACATGGTGTTCGTGGACTTTGTTTCCAATTTTAGGTCTGAAGAGACAACTGTGTTTGCTCTTTGAAGTGTTTTATCTAAAACACATCGAGGGTAACCCCTCGCTTGAAATTTCTCATACATCTGTATGAGTTGGTGTTCACGCTGTCCTCCCTGTGAGTTGTTGCAAAAAACTCGTAAAAACTGGGAGTAAGGCAACGATTGCTTCAGATGCTTGGGATGGAAAGATGGGGGACATGGGGTCAATGACCTTGGTTATGTTAAGATATATATATATATATATAAATTAAACCAAGAGGGCTGCACTCACCTGAACATGCATACATTATAGGGTGCTGCTGGTGCCAAATCCTTAGTTTTGCACCCCTCCCTGTCACAGGTGCCTCATAGTGATGTCGCGAACACGAAATTTTCGGATCGCGAACGGCGAACGTGAACTTCCGCAAATGTTCGCGAACCGGCGAACCGGGCGAACCGCCATAGACTTCAATGGGCAGGCGAATTTTAAAACACACAGGGACTCTTTCTGGCCACAATAGTGATGGAAAAGTTGTTTCAAGGGGACTAACACCTGGACTGTGGTATGCCGGAGGGGGATCCATGGCAAAACTCCCATGGAAAATTACACAGTTGATGCAAAGTCTGGTCTTAATCCATAAAGGGCAGAAATCACCTAACATTCCTAAATCACAATGGATATGGATTGATACCTGACATATGACATAGTGACACAGAGCAGAATAGGGACTGTTCCCCCTACATAGGGTCACTTGGCAGATATGGATTGACACCTGTCCTCAGAGACCATGACACACACTGACACAGAGCAGAATAGAGACTGTTCCTTCTACATAGGGTCACTTGCCAGATATGGATTGACACCTGTCCTCAGAGACCATGATACACACTGACACAGAGCAGAATAGAGACTGTTCTCCCTACATAGGGTCACTTGGCAGATATGGATTGACACCTGTCCTCAGAGCCCCTGATACACACTGACACAGAGCAGAATAGAGACTGTTCCTCCTACATAGGGTCACTTGGCAGATATGGATTGACACCTGTCCTCAGAGCCCCTGATACACACTGACACAGAGCAGAATAGAGACTGTTCCTCCTACATAGGGTCACTTGGCGGATATGGATTGACACCTGTCCTCAGAGCCCCTGATACACACTGACACAGAACAGAATAGAGACTGTTCCTCCTACATAGGGTCACTTGGCAGATATGGATTGACACCTGTCCTCAGAGATCATGATACACACTGACACAGAGCAGAATAGAGACTGTTCCCCCTACATAGGGTCACTTGGCAGATATGGATTGACACCTGTCCTCAGGAACCATGATACACACTGACACAGAGCACAATAGAGACTGTTCCCCCTACATAGGGTCACTTGGCAGATATGGATTGACACCTGTCCTCAGAGCCCCTGATACACACTGACACAGAGCAGAATAGAGACTGTTCCTCCTACATGGGGTCACTTGGCAGATATGGATTGACACCTGTCCTCAGAGATCATGATACACACTGACACAGAGCAGAATAGAGACTGTTCCACCTACATAGGGTCACTTGGCAGATATGGATTGACACCTGTCCTCAGGGACCATGATACACACTGACACAGAGCAGAATAGAGACTGTTCCCCCTACATAGGGTCACTTGGCAGATATGGATTGACACCTGTCCTCAGAGCCCCTGATACACACTGACACAGTGCAGAATAGAGACTGTTCCTCCTACATAGGGTCACTTGGCAGATATGGATTGACACCTGTCCTCAGAGACCATGATACACACTGACACAGAGCAGAATAGAGACTGTTCCCCCTACATAGGGTCACTTGGCAGATATGGATTGACACCTGTCCTCAGGATCCCTGATACACACTGACACAGAGCAGAATAGGGAATATTCACTAAATGCCAAACATTGTTATACAGGGGAATATTCAGTAAATAAGGATAAAAGGGGACCTACTGTCCTCCCCCCGGACCCCACCCCTGCACGGTGAGTGGGGGCCATAAATCTCAATGAGGGCCATAAATCTCAACTGTCCTCCCGCCCGCCCCCACCTGTGAGCGGTGGGTGGGGGCCATAAAAATAATGAGGGGGGGACCTACTGTATGATGTTGTATCGATCAGGTAGTGTAAGGGTTACGCCCGCTTCACAGTGACAGAGCAAACTCCCCGTTTAACGCACCGCAAACAGTCCATTTGCATAACCGCAAACTCCCCATTTGCACAAGGTTTGATACCAAGCTAGCCATGTCCCGTTCCTTGTCCTCACTGATGTCATTGAAGGTCTCTTCCTCCACCCAGCCACGTACAACACCAAGGGTCCCCGAAAGGTGACAACAAGCCCCCTGGGACGCCTGCTGTGTTTGGTCTTCCACCTCCTCAAAGCCACCTTCCTCCTCTGACTCCTCTTTTTCAGACTCCTCTCTCTGCATTGCCTCTCTCTGCGTTATTATAAGGTGTGTTAAATAGTATTATTCCTATCAGTTTAATCTCTGTTACGTCCCCTATCAGGGGACGTGTATATGGCATCGATTTTAGGAACCGGGAGATGGAAAAAAATGCTTTGTCGGTCCTCCTACTTCAAATTTGGGGCACTGCTCATGCAATCTAATGTGCCACCAGATAGGAGTGGTGTGTTAAGTAGTACTATTCTTATCAGTTTAATCCCTGTTACGTCCCCTATCCGTTGATGTGGAGCAAGACGCAGCAGCAGAAGAGGACTCAGCCGAGGAGGTTATGGAAGAGGATGGAGTAGGAGGAGTAGAGGAGGTGGCAGCAGGCCTGCCTGCAAGTCGTGGCGGTGTCACCAACTCCTCTGCAGAGCCACGCATTCCATGCTTGGCAGCCGTCAGCAGGTTTACCCAATGCGCAGTGTAGGGGTGGCCTGCCTCTGCCTGTCATTTTTTTTTTGATTAGTGGTACTATGCGTGCAAGCTACTGTGACACCAGATATGAGTGGCACTGTGAACTGGCAGAGGTTGGCAGAGTACACGCTGTAGGGCTGACACACCCGCTTGAAGACAACTAACTGCTATTTAGTCTATAACAGTGAAAAAAGTTTTTTGTTTTTAAATGCAAGCTATTGTGACACCAGATATGAGTGGCACTGTGAACTGGCAGAGGTTGGCAGAGTACACACTGTAGGGCTGACACACCCGCTTTGAGACAACTAACTGCTATTCAATCTATAACAGTGAAAAAAGTTTTGGGGTTTTTAAATGCACGCTATTGTGACACCAGCTTTGAGTGAGTGGT